ACCATGCTGCTGACCCCCACCCCCCCCCTCTCCCGGCGCCTCAGCGTGTCATGTCCAGGAGCGGCCCTGGACAGCGCTGCAGCGGTGTGGCTCCACGGGACCTGAACTCCCCCTGCTGGGCCGGGAACTCGGAGCCCCGCCCCCTCACCACACGGCTCTGAGCAGGAGGAGCTCAGGCCACACGGCTGCAGCGCCATCCAAGGCCGCTTCTGGATGCGGTGCGCTGGGGGATGGGGGAAGGCGGAGGCAGGGGGGGAGCCTCCAACATTCTTGTGGGGGCCTCGGCGCAAATTGCTCCACTTGCCCCTTCCTCTGGGCGGCCCTGCCTATCATACATCTGCACATCCAGCCCAAGTGGCACCATTCATGGCCATGCCTGGGACTGGGAAGCATGTGTGTGTTAAAGCAGGCTTGACATTCACCAAGTATCTAGTGTTGTGTTTTAACCCTCTGGTTCCCCGCTCCCATATGTCTTCTTGAGCAAACACATAACAGGAGTGCAGATAAATCTCATATACGGTAAAAGGCAAAATGGTCACCTGCAGGTAGCAATACAATACATGGTGACTTCAGCGGCCTCCTTTCCCACTAGTTCTGGAATAATTTATAGCCAGAACTTCCTCCAGTTTCAAAATTAGAGATGAAGTTTATTTTTCTGTACTGTTTCTGAACAATGTTAATAGTGTGTTAACTGTCCAAGGAATGTTTAAGTAAAAGGAGCTCATTTCCATATGAGCAGCGTTTAGTTTCTTATGTTAGTGAAAAATTGAGGTTCTTTAAACTGTCATTTGTGAGCAATAGGGTTTCATCTTTATGGTTGTTGTTTAAAAACAACAACAAAACAAACTCCTAGGAGCTCTGTAGTACTTGGCTGTTTTATTGCTGAAGTAAAATAAATGGAATGTTTAGTGTTTTTCAATTATGGTCTCTTTACAAACTTGCCTTCAAGTAGATTAGTCCCTGGGGGGATGAAAAGATAACTGTTTAGGGAAGGGTATCACTCAGCTGTTTTATTATTATTTTTATCTCCTAGATATGCAGAGTTTTTCTCCTTGTATTGCTTCCAATTTATTTTTACAGGAAGCAGTTGATATTGGAGTTAATCCAACCAAAATAAAATTCTTAGAGTACATTTAAAAAAAAACGCTCAAAAATCTGTTTTAATAAATCTGCTGTCTGTTCTAATGAAGCTTTCTTCAACATTTCAGTATCCAGCTGAGGTGTGGCGGATACTTTGTTTTATAATTGGTCAGATTATACAAGATCTGCTCAGCTGTGGTTCTATATTGGCCATATGCCAGAATCTTGAAGTCCTCCCCAGATTGAACTAAGGTGAAGCAAGTTAGTGCTTTGTGCAGCCGAAGGTAGAGAGCATTGCATGCTGGGGTTTGTGGTTTCTGTGGACTGAACCTCATTTCAAGATGTGGGTATCTGGGGACCAGGCTGTTAGGTGACCTCACTTTATTCTGCCCCCTTATCAAGTAGCATTCTCTTCTCTTGTTCTGAACAAGACATAGTTTACCTATTTTTGCCTTGTGTTTGTGAATTAAATTCTCAATTATACCTTTATTGCAGGATCAGATAGTAGAACTGCATGAGGGGATGTGGAAAATAGCCTTTTTTTTAAAACAAAGATTCTTTTGATAAGTAGCAAAAGGTTCAGTGGAAGTTATTAAAGATCATGTTAAAAGTACATGATTAATGTCCTAGGAGAGAGAGACTGTATCTGAAAGTTTCAGCACTCTGTCCAAATATCTTTTTAGCTCCTGTCTTTCACACTTAAGTTTAATTCTTTTGACAGAAATAAGAGATTTATATTATCTAGTATTGTTACAAGTAACACCAAGTATTATTATAATGGAAAGGTAGTGACCCACATAAACAACAAGAGTATGTGACTTTAAAACCACAAATTGGTAGGGTAAGAAACTAACTATTTTGAAATTACTTAATTTCAAGTTGAAAATGTCCCCTTTGAAGTTGAGATAAAGGTTACACAATGAATAACGTACCTTTTTAAAACAAGCTACTAGTAACCAAGCTCTTATGACGTTTAAATGTTCAAAGAATAGTATACCAATTAGAGATGACAGTGAACAAGTTTTTTTCCTTAATGGAATAGTAGGTTTACAAAGATATTAAGAAGACAGTTTTAGTGTACCATCGTAAAATTTCCCCCCAACCCTGATGTTAGGTCAGATTAATTTTACTTTACAAATAAAATCATGCCTTCATTTTGGAAATCAAGACAGTTAGCAGTTCTATATTATCTTGGGCCTGGCATTATCTAAACACAAATTTTAAGGTGAGAAATAAATCTTGATAATATGGTAGATTTAGTTCACTGAAAGGTCAAGGTTTATAGTTTTCAGGGGTTGTGGGTGTTTACCAGATTCTGACATTTAAAGTTTGTGAATGGACTATTGAATTAAGGTTGAGCTGAAGGAGAAGTTCACTTTGCTGGTGGTGAAGAAGCCATTGAGGGACTAATTACCGGTGCTTATAAAGGTCATCAGGCTCAGTCAGCTTTAAATTTGTGCAAAATGTCATTAAGTTTGGCCCACGGAAATGCAGATGAATTAGTCAGTTAGGTCAGCCTCTTCATCTAATGCGTATGGGGGCAGGG